AGAATACGGTACTGTCATTGAGTAACGTAACGGAATAGGTTACAGAATACATTTTGGGGCATGTATTCTGTATTCTGTAATGGAATACATTTTAAAAGTAACCTTCCCAACACTGCCTCTCACACACTAACACAGACTCTTTATACAGATACAGAGCTTTACATGTATAAATAAGGCAGAGAAAAATGCATAAAACACAAGCTATCAACAGACTGTTGGTGGACACCATGTCACTCTATTTTGTTTTTATCTTGTTTCTTTTTGGTGTAGCCTCATTAAACAAAATGTTTATAAAAATGACCACTTTTATTATGAATTATTATGAAATTAATAATTCATTATTAATTATTTATTATGAACACACCTGCAACCCTCAAGTGGAGGTGGCAGAGAGGAGGCACTTGGAGTTTCGGTCGAGAAAGTGTCCGTGTGACTGAGTCCTGTCCCATCGCTGCTTCAAGGTCTGTCGGTCCAGCTTGTTGAGGGCCTGAGAGCAAAGACGGATATCCTGGACCAATTCTGACAAACTGTCCAGATCTTGACTCTCCCAAGGGCCAGAGACCTGACAACCTGCAGGTTAAGCAACAAAGAAACATTTTATTTCATATCCATTATGTCCATTTCCCCCCCTATAAATATTTGACATCCAAATGTAGCCAATTAGCTAGCATCCAGCAATGTTTTCTGCCCCATAAAATGGAAAATTAATTCACAACTAATCTTTTTTTTTTATCTTTAAACCACACTTCTATATTGTAATGTCTGTGTGTGTACTCACCATGTAACACCTCTGTGCATACATACTAAATGTTCAAACTTAGAAATGTGTCAAAAGGAAACAGACTGATAGCAAGAAACAAACTGTTGCCAAGTACAACTTTGCACAGGTGATAAAAACATCAAAGAAATCCAAATTGTGAATTAGTGTGAAACTCCATGTCCATGGAGTATCTCCAAGTTCACACATATGCATACCTTCGAGGTTTAGAAGTGTCAGTGGTCGACGGGCCTCTCTGACAGACGCCAGGATGTTGTGAAGTCCCGCTGATGTAACAGACAGATTTCCTGACAGATTCAGACTCACCAGTGTGGGACACGACGAGAGGCACCTGTGAAATTATAATAAAAAGTCCAACAGGCCAGTAAAGAGTGACAATTTAAACAAAGGCAAAGCCCTAATAACTTGAGTAATAACTGAGCCGTAGAAATGACGCCCTCACACACAAACCTCGCCAAGGTAGCTACGCTGCTGTCTGTCAGCCCATTTGCAGCAGGCTGAGGTGGGTCAGAGAGCACTCGTCCTGCAAAAAAACAAAAGTCTTAACCTGATTGCATAGTTATATCTTTCGACAATAAATGACATTGCATGATTTTTGCATGCACACCTGTGACAGGACTTTGGCGAGGTGTTCCAGTGCCGGGTAATCAGCAGGCCCTCTGTATACGGCTGACAGGTCCACGTGTGTGAGGCAGTGGAGGGGCAGAGTCTTTAACACCAGCTCAAAGCCGGTGGAGCCCAGGGGATTGTGGGACAGGCACACTGCTTTCAAATGGCCTGTGCCTGAACGTTCAGAAGATGTAAAGTTAGTTGCAGTTTTGCTTATGGGTGGGAGTTCAGTGAAGCCTAAGGCTTCAGTCAGCTGCTTGTTAGAGAGCGTTGGGTCTAAGCTCAAACCCCACTGTTTCCAGGACTTATTCTTATGTCTGTGGTTGCTCTTCTCCCCTCCAGTGGGTGTGTTGAGGCCCACCCTCACAGTCCTCCCTTCATCCAAAGAGGAAGACAAACAGAGCATCCCCAGGGGTTTCAATAAGCTTGGGGATAGACGGTCGCTACAGCTGGAGCAGCACCCTGAGCCTCTCTGCAGACCAGTGGAGAAAGCGGGCTCAGTGAGCTGTGAGGCCAGTCTGAGTGGACAGAGTCCCGTCACTCAAACCCTGGACCCTGACCACTGCTAAGAGTAGAGCTTCAGCAACACTTCCTGTCTGCATGATGTGTTTGATGAAGCTACAGGTTTTGTTTGTTCATATTTTTCTGCAAACATTTGACTCTCTATTGTTATGCATGCAGATTTCATTTGCTTGTTCATGTTGTGCTTTGAAATCATGCTATAAAAAACAAGTCTGCATCACAAAATAAAATCCCAGTTCATGAAAAATCACTAATGTTTTAACCTTTTATTCTATATCTATGATCATTTATAACTTTTATAAAAAATGCCATTTATGAAGGTAACTAAATACATAAACATCAGTTTCTGTCATTACACTAAAAAAAAGACGTGCTCATGAACTTTTGCTCATATTTAATGATAAATATAAAGGTTGAATCATTATAAACGTAGTTGTATACTTCTTTAGTTTTAGTTTTATTCAGTGCGTTTGTGGTTGATGATTCTTGTGTTAGTGGATTAGTTATTCTCATCACAGTCCAGCACACTGCACCTGCAGCCTTTAACCAGACTGAAGGAGGTTCTTGTACTGCTATAAATCACTGTTTAAACATCCGACTACAACGACAGCCCAAATAGCAACAATCTCCAACATCTTCAGACTGAAACCCACTGATGGTTAAAGTGTACTGAGAACCAGATCTACTGCCACTGAATCGAGACGGAGTTCCTGAAGAGAGACTTGATGCTCCGTATATAAGAAGTTTGGGACTCTCTCCAGTTTTCTGAAGGTACCAACTGAGATCAGCACCAATGTTTGAACTCCCTGTAGCACTGATGGTCACAGTCCCACCAAGACTGACAGACTTGACTTCATCAGTCTGAGTCAGAAAATTATTGGCAAATGACTCTGGAACGAAGAATAAAATGACAAGTTTGTTTTTTAGACACAAACATAAAAAGAACAAAGAAAATTTCATCAAATATAAAACAGTCTGTGTCTTAAATGTAAGAATCTCTCACCCTGACTCAGAAAGCCTAACAAAAGAACCACCAACATTGGAAACACCATCCTGACTCAGTTTTCAATGAAAGTGTATGAGAGCATGTGTGACAGCAGAACTTAAACTGTGAGGAGAAGTGATGCATGAAAGTGTGCAAAACCCATTTTAGGAGGTCAGCTGAGGAGAGGATCATTCAACCTTTTCATTCTACATGTATTTCAAAAAAGAAACTTATACATAGTGTTTTAAAGCTTTTAAATTGTAAACTTATCTAATATTAGTTTGTTGTTTGAATAATTTAGTCCTGCACAGCTCCTGTAAAACCCTGTGATGAAGGGTTTACTCCACAGAAACCAGGTATTTGATATTTTTAAACCATGTACAGGTGAATTGGATCTTTCCAAAAATAAAAGAAATTATTTTGTTTTGTTTTGTTTGGGTTTTTTTGTTTGTTTTAGTTTAATTGTTTTTCTGTTTGTTTTTTGTTGCTTAGATTGTTTGTTGGTTGCTCTTTTACCCATGAGCATACTGTTAGGTTAGTCTTCTAACTCCAGTGATGCGGTGAGTTCCCTTCCAATTACGTCCAAAAAGCTCATTTTAGTCAATTTGTTATATTATGTCCACCAGAGTGTGTTGCAGTTACTTTGATGACAAAACATTCAGTGTGACAGGGATAAAACAATATTACTATTGTGCATACCAGTCTTGTTAAAAATTGAAAAATTTCACACTACTGGATGCACGATACATATTCAAATTATAGCATGGGTCAGTGAGAACACCTGCACCTGTGAAGTCTGGGTGGTGCTTGATTTAATGAGTTATCATTACCATGGTATTAAATTACAGATTATTACACAGAAAACCTCACATGTGTTTCCTGGTAGTCATTGCTCTTCTGTAAGTTTGTTATAAAACAGTATTAACGTTGTTATTAATGTGTTAATAAATACAAACAAGCAGTTTTGCATTTTGCAGCTCTGCTTTTTTCTTATTTCTGTTTATTTCCTGCTGCAACTACCAGGAAATGTTTTCAAATAGGTTATTAATATGATATTATATAGAAACAGGCAGCTTTGTATTTTGCATGCTTATTACACAGAAACTACCACAGGTAATTGAGTGGTAATAGCTTAGAAATTAACATATTATTATTTTCTTTTTCTGCCTTATTATCCCACTACTAACGCCATTTATTAATAAAAGTGCCCTCGCAAAGTTCTCTATTATATTATATTTATAGTCTCTGCATTGTTGGAAATCAGTCATATGGCTCTCTACTTACATTTTGTTCAGGTCAGCTGACCACAGCTACACACACATACACACAAGCAAAGGCAATTTACTGGAGCTCACAACACAAATTATGATGTGAATTATTTCTAAGTAATTATTTTCCCCACACTGCACCTCAACACCCACTCTTAGGGCTCCCCCTCCTTCAAAATTTCACTTTAATCTCTGGTTGACTCATGTTTGTCAGCATAGCACAAACGTTTTGCAATAACCACAAATTCGCTTTATGATATCTTAGGTTTTGTTTGTCGGGGGGAGGGCGGGGTGTTCTTAGTTAATGACAAGCACAATGGGTTAAATTTATTATTTACAATTAAAACTACCTACTAGATGATTTCAGTTGATTTCTCCTGAATTTGAATTTCTCCTGGTAGAGTGTCAATAGCTTGAAAATGGTGAGGAATTGTATGAAAATGATGTGACATAACACAGTAGTAAAAAACTTGAAACTGGCAGTTGGTTTTTGTTGTTTTTAAATGTCATGATGAACAAACTTGCTATGAATACAAAGGTAAAGAAAATATATTTCATTTGTTCATATGAACGACTACTCTTGCTGTGACTACAGTCAGGAAACCTAACTAAAATTAGTTGTTATGTTTTTATTATAAACGTAATTGTTTATTTATTTAAATCCTTATGTTAAAATGGCCTTGAATGTGTTTATTGCTCAGTGAAGTTACTGTGAGGCCTGTGTTCAGTGGTCTGTGTCAGAGTCTCTTCCTCTGCAGTCAGTTCCTGCTGTAACAGCTCAGTGTCTCTGCAGTCTGACTGAGGGAGGTTTTTGTACGACTACAAATCACTGTGTGAACACCCAAACACTGTTTATGTTATGTTGACTCTGACAGTAGTAAACTGCTGCATCGTCAGCCTGAACTCCACTGATGGTCATAGAGAAGTCAGAGCTGCTTCCACTGCCACTAAATCGAGTTGGCGTTCCTGAATGAAGTGTTTTCACAAATTTTATTATGAGCTTTGGAGTCTGTCCAGATTTCTGTTGATACCAGAACATGGCGTCACCATCAGACCATCTCTGAACAGCTTGGCTGGTCCTACAGGTCAGAGTCACAGTGGATTCAGGAGCAGATGTCAGTACTGGAGGTTGAGTCACAGTCACCTGACCGCTGCATCCTGCAGACAAAAACAAATCATTAATTTATCAGCAGAAATCAATGAGAGAAAAAGCAGCACATCATGTTTGAAATGTTGCTGAGTGAATGAACCTGTAAAACAGCAGCAGGTCAGCGTCCAGATGAGGATGGTGATGAGAGTCATGGTGGTTGTGCTTTCTGCTGTGTTGACTGACAGATGTGAGTCCTGCAGTGTTGAAGTCACAGGACTATAAACCTTCTCAGTTCTCTGGAGGATCAGCTGATGATGCAAAGCCTCCTCTCTATGGAAATCATTTCTCTGCTCTCAACACACTGAAGGAAATTTATATATCTTATTTTTGTTTATTGAACATTTTGAATGTGTTCTACTTTCTTTCCTACCTGAAATATTTTTACCATTTTATGTATTGTCATCTAGATATTAATTATGCTGTGAAAGAGTATATGTGAATCTAATGTATTCATGTGTAGTCTTCATTCAATTTTAATTATTATGATTCTGCATATGTTTTTCCAGTTCATTCAATTAAGTTTTTTAATAGGTTAATAATATGTTATTATATAGAAACGGGCAGCTTTGCATTTTGCATGCTTATTACATGGAACTACCACAGGTAATTGAGTGGTAATAGCTTAGAAAACAAATCATTCATTTATCAACAAAAATAAATGAGGGAAAAAGCAGCACATCATGCTTGAAATGTTGCTTGTCTTCATCAGTCTGAGTCAAAAATTTATTGGCAAATGAGCCTGAAATGAAGAAAAAAATAAAAACTAACTAACAAAAGAACCACCTTTTTTGACCTCAAATTTTACTGAGAAAGAATGAGTAACATATTTTAATATTTTTTATTTTTTTATAACACACTCTGCAGTTTCAGATGCATTTTGAGTTCCTGAAAATAACTGCATTATTATTGCTTTAACATGATGATGCTGGCATTTTTGCTCAGACCTCACAGAGCTTTTTGATTTTAAACTCATTAGATAATAATTATTGAAGCTCAAAAAGACCAGATCCTCAGTCTGTGAGGTAAAACTTGTTTTGTTTTAACATACTAACTACTAATCTAGCAGGTTGTATATGTTACTGCATGTTTACTTATAAAGTCAAGTCTCTGTCTATGGTATGAAACTAATCTAATCCAAAGGAAAAAATCTGTATTCTGGAGTTTATTTTACCTTTTGCTTTGGAACTATAGATTCTAAGAACAATGTTTGTTTCTGCAGAAGGAAACTGTTTGCATAACTGAAGTGTGAAGCTGAAAAAAGGAGCGCAAATGTCAATTTCACTACCCGTTAATGAGTATCAGGGAGTTTCTATGGAACAGTGTTGTCTCTAATCTCCTCCGAGAGATCATCTCTGCAACACATCAGTCCCTAGTTTAATTTGATATTAGTATAACTAATGTGCTTGTTCTCACACATATGTTTCAACACAGCAGTAATTTAGATCTTCATAAGTTCAGAGTTGAGGTAATTACAGATTTCTGTGCTGGCTGTACAGCTCAGAGAGACGGCCTTATAGACTTAAAGACAGCTGTCCACCCAGCAAAACATTAAAAACTGTCATTTTACAGAAGGGAAAAAAATTCTGTATCATACTGAAACTATAGAAAACTATTTTGCATCCAGGGTGTGCGACAGATATTCAAATTAATGCATGGGTCAGTGAGCACACACCTGCACCAATGGAGTCTGGGTGGAAATTGTACATTGCTGCTGTACAAATAGTGCCCTCTTATGTCAAAATAAGAGAATACATATAAAATTGACTCTGATACACAGATCCAAAAAGCAGACTGGACATCGATGAAAAAACACATTTTCTTTGTCTCCTTCTGGCCAATTGTAATTTTCTTTAATTCATTTCTGTCAAGGTTTTTATACATGTTTTGTCTGTCTGTGTCTCAGTTGCCATTTTGTGACTTTTGCATTCAATGTATTTCTTTATAGAGTGTTTTTATACTTTGGCTTATTTGGTTATTAATTTACTTATTTGCATTTCCTTATATTGTTTTATGCCATTTTGCTATGTTTCCCTGTGACAGGAAACATAATCAAGATCAATTTCAAATAAAAGTAAATATATGTTTTATATTAAATGTTTAACTGAAAAATACATGTATTGTAAATACATGTATAAAGTACGGGTACCTTGTTTGTGTGATATGTGAAGTTCTTTTTTTACATTTGCATTATATTGTAAATGTGGAACACTTTGTGACTTAGTCTATGTATCTATCTTAAATGTGAGAACTCTATTTTAAAAACTGTTAGAACATCTTATTATTATGTTACCTTATTGTGTGCAGTGCAAAATGTAGAGAAGAAAATACAATGTACTACAGATTTTTAAGACTGTAGTGCCACTTCAATGAAGATCCTTTCAGTAACTGACCACCAATCTATCACACAGTCATGGTTATAACCCGTTATTTATTGTTTCAGTAACATAACATGTTTTAGTTTTGTCTATTCTGTATTATTGTAGGCCCTTTCCTTACAATATAAAGCTCTCTGAGGCAACTGTTGTGATTTAGCTGTGATTTAGTGTATTTTGTAACAGTAAATAATATGTTTCTATTCTATTAGTTGATCAGTTCAAGAAGAAAACTACATTTACTGTTTTTTAGCAGAGTTAAATCAGCATGTTTAAGCTTTTAGTATGTTAGTATGTTCTTGTGTTTGTGCTCTTTTTGTGTTCACTGGGCCAGTAACTTTCATCACAGCCTCTGCACCAGCTATCTGCACCTGCAGCCTTCAGTCTTGCTGAAGGAGGTTTTTGTACAGCTATATATCACTGTGTGAATGCTCCACCATGGGCACCCAGACAATAATAATCTCCAGCATCTTCAGCCTGAACACCACTGATGGTTAAAGTGTACTGAGAATCAGATCTGCTGCCACTGAATCGTGACGGAGTTCCTGAGGAGCGAGTTGATGCTCTGTATATAAGGAGTTTGGGAGGCTGTCCAGGTTTCTGAAGGTACCAACTGAGATCAGGACCTATATTTGAACTCCCTGTTGCGCTGATGGTCACAGTCCCACCAAGACTGACAGACTTGGCTTCATCAGTCTGAGTCAGAAAGTTATTGGCAAATGACTCTGAAATGAAGAAATAAAACAAAGACTTTAACAGAATCTTTTAACTTTCAAATAGTAAACATCAGTAAGGCATTTTAAACTCTCAAACTCAGTGTACACAGAAGGAGCAGATAACATGTCACCAAACATAAAATTTGTTTTATATGTCAGAAATGTTTTCAAAACTCTCACCCTGACTCAGAAAGCCTAACAAAAGAACCACCAACATTGGAAACACCATCCTGACTCAGTTTTCAGTGGAAGTGAATGAGAGCATGTGTGACAGCAGAACTTAAACTGTGAGGAGCAGTGATGCATGAAAGTGTGCAAAACACACTGTAGGAGGAAACCACCCACCTCTCCCAATGAAACAGAAAACACAGAGGTCGTGTGAGGAGAGGCTCATTCAACCTTTCCATTATATTTGTCTCATTAACAGGGCCCATATTAGTTGGTCGCCAGATACTGGTTGGTTCATTTTGCTCATTCTGACAAACCAAATCTATATTTAAATGTAAATACATGAACATCAATTAAAAGGAAGGTATATTAAACTGATGTAATATTATCTTTTTTCTATGTGCTGAAAGATGTTCAGTTCTACACAACTCATGATAGCATAAATCTATGAAAACCCAACAGGTTTGAGCTGATTTCTTTACAGGTACCTGTGCTGACTGTACAGATCGGAGAGACGGTATCGCCTTGTTTTATAGACGTTGATAATTGTGTGTCAGAATCAGAGCTAGGTTAGCTGTCAGTCCGGTAAAATATTTAAAATATATATTTTTTAAGATTTTTTTTTATCATCGCATAATAAAAACTTTTTTTCAAAAATGTTTTTTTCTGGGATGATAATATGGAATATATAGCAAATATTCAAATTACAGCATGGGTCAGTGAACACACCTGCACCTGGAGAGTCTGCATGGGAAATTATAACCCTCTGTTTATATGAAAACAAATAGCGCCCTCTTGTGTCATAAAAAGAGAATACACATAAAATTAAATCCACCAAATTGATACAAAAAGCAAACTGGACATCGGAGCGACTCTGAAAGAGACACAAAATTACAGGAGTGGCTTAAAAAAAATATGCCCTGCCTCTTTCTAGTGATCTATATTAAAAATAATAATAATTGCTATAATGATCTTTGTCGAGAGTTTGTGTTTCTTTGCAATTTTGCATCTACATACATTATTTTACAGTATTTTGCATTGCTTAACATGACAATTTCCTTTTGGTGTTTTTTTTTCCACACCTCATATTTGTTTGTAGTGTTTTGTAGTCATTTTTTCCTGTTTTATACCTCTTTTTATTGCATCCTTTTATGGTCATTTTTCACCTCCGAGTAGCCAAAAACTGTCACTTTGTTTGAAGTGGGACAGTCACTTAACATAACAGTTTATCCATGGATCTCATTAATTGAGATCCAAATCTCTGAGGCCAAACTTTAATTATAATTTACATCATGTCTAAAATTTATTCAGTGCCAGAAATTATTCTTTTCAATCTCACATATTTCTAACTGGAGCAGGTGTTCTGGTTAAAAAACACATAATGATGTATATTACTGTGTCCTAAGGATTTGTGTCAACTTGTTGAGTAAACACATCAACAAGTTTCAGTGTTTGCAGTGATTGTCTAAAGTTTCTGGAAATTGAAACAGTCTCATCTGTTACTCCAGCCACCTAAAACAAATTTCATAATACTATGTGTCTAAGGGTTATCATTATATTGTGATTTTTGAGTGCAGATTGCATAGTTCAGGAAACCAAAGATGAATTTTTAAAAAAGAATCTGGAAAAAAAAATAGAAATCCTCTTTTGTTGTGTTCATTTTACCAATAAAACAATCATATGCATAGTAAGAGCTGTTCAAAATACCGAACATTACACAAAATACAAAATATACAAAAGAAACCTGCTACACCTCCAACTACCACCAGAGGGCTGAAACGTAGAACTTCAGAACATTTTTCTTCCAATTAAAAAAAAATGAAAACGTTTCATTCACAAAAAAAGACTACAAGCAAAAGACCTGAATATTCCTAGAATTAATCTATGCAGGAAGATCAAGATTCACTCATCTTTCATCGTTACTGGGTGTCAGGCTTCTCTATTCCTTGCAACACTTTCACTTTTCCCTTGCTGTCTAAATTAACTCTGTATTCATCACTCTGCTCCAGTCATTTTCT